GATCTTTTCATAAACCCGCATTTCATGGCTGTGCAGGCTGCAAACTCCTGACCCGAGCGCTCCTGCAAGCAGTGAGTTCTGGTCTTTCCCTGGCTCACAGCCAGTATCCTGGAGGAATAAACCGGGGGAAATCACAGTGTGATTGGCAGCATCTTTGCTCGATTATTTAAGAGTGAGCAGGAGCCCTTCCCACGGCCCAGCCTTGGGGCAAGCAGGGAGTCAGAGGTCGGCCTGACTTCCGCAGGAGGAGCGGAGTCCACTGGGCTCAGGCACTAGGGCTGCAGAGCTTAGTGGTCACTTTGGCAAATGTCTCAGACACAAAGACTTTGCTTTTGGCCCTGGTGTTTCTGAGGTCCGTGCTAACTACTTCCCAGACACAGAGCTCTCCACAAGTCTTTCCTCAGAACTAGCTACAAAAAACCTACCAATTATAGCCAAGAGACAGCCTCTCCAACACACACACACACACACACACACACACACACACATACACGCACACGTTGTAATGTGGGCTGGAAACCAATGGGAAAGTTTTTGATGTGCCCTTTACGGCCAGAGGCAGGCACTAAAGGCAAACTCCTAGGCTGTTTGGAAGAACAGAGCATTTATACTAAATTTAGCACTCTAGCCAGCCGCTTGGCACATGTGTAATGAAAGATGTAAAAGGAAAGAAATTCAGCCACAGAAACAGAAGGCAGATGGGCGAAAAGAAGGCTCTTAACAGACAGATTCGTTTTTTAAAAGGTGCTCGAGGAACATAAACAGGGAGTGGTGGCCAGCATCGCTATTTCCTTTCAAATGAGCACCTGAAATGCCTAATCACTACTCAGGAGAGGTTCTGAGTCACTGACTAGATTGAATTTGGTGCTAGGAGCAATACCCTCTTTCACGTATCTCCCATATTTGCCCACCGCCTGGCAGACGAGGGCAGAATGGGCGTGCTCACATGAGTGAACAAGTGAGTGTCTGCATTTGCCCTACAGAGTTCCCAGGCTTGCGTGTAAGCAGGAGTCCCTGAGTGGGCTCCTTTCTCGAGTCTTGGCTGGTCAGAGGCTCAGCTGAGGCTAGCTGACCCCAGTGCTGTTTTCTGCCTTTCTGCTACGGCTTACTCTAACCTGCATGTTTTCTCTCTGTTGGGAAGCCAGAAATAAGACTTTGGATGTGCTGTGTTTTATAAGCTGTACTTCAAAAGTAGATGTATGGAATTGAGTTAGATCTTAGGAAGTCTCAGGGTCCAGAAGCATGCCTAGGAGAGATGCTGAGTCTGCTTTGAGGACCAGCAGTTCTGTCTTCGGGGAGCCATGCCAGGAACAGGAGCTCCTGGACAGGTGTTTCAGAGGTGGTGGTGGCCCTGTGAGTCCACCTGGAGCAGAGCAGTGTTCACTGCAGGAATAGAAGCCAACCCTACTACCTACGTCAGACAGAGGAGTTTGGGGCTGTGGTCCTAGAAACCTCTCTCGCATCTTAGCATCTTGAGTAAGATGCAAATTACTCACTGATAAAGAATGAAGAGACCCAGTACTGCACCCGGAACCCCTTGGAGGATGGGCAAACTGTGGGGGCTTCTTTTAGTGATCCTTCCCTTTCCCGTGATAGACCTACAGCTTGACATTGATTTCTACTTTCTTTGAAGATAAAGCATTCTCACACCTTTAACAACAACACGTATGCAAACCCTCTAATCTCTTTATTAGGCATGAATGGCACTTTGTTGGAAAGTAATAGCTCTATTATCAGCTAAAAGATGTTTTTCAGTTGCACGGATGTCTGCGGCAGGCTACAGAATCAGAGGTATAAATAATGAAGGAGGGATAAGCATGTGTTCTGTGCACCAGCATGGAAAGAAACAGTGAATTCTTCTCACGTCCACGAGGAAGACAGAGTGAAGTTGGGCCAGGTGGGCGGGTGGAGAGAAGCCCACAGCCACCTACTGCTGCAGCTTGGTCCACAGGAAAGTGCAGAAGTGGGGAGGGTGTTTAGAGTGCTGAGGCCAGGCTGGAAGGGACCCGAATACAGAAAGAAGATCCTACTTAACCATTAGGGCTCAAGGGCTGAGAGACTGGGACTCTGGCTCCCTGGAGATCAGCACCTATAAGTCTCTAAGTTATTAGGTCCTCTGGATTTCTGTTCTAGGAAGGGGCAGAGAGTGGCCCAGCTCTGGGCCTCAGAAGTAGGTGGCTGGGCAAGGGGTGCTGACCAAATGTCACCCAGCTGGTGCCCAGAGCTTTGACCAAGGGACACCTGGACAGAGAAGCTTGCGAAGATTGCTTTTGTCCAGGGTTAACTGCTGCTGGGTTTGCTTCAAATCCTGCAAAAACACAAAGGTGACCTGCAGTGTCTTAGAGTCCATCCCTTTCAATTGCTTTAGGACCCTGTCCAGACCTGGGAGGGGAGACCACACACGAAGGACCGGAGACTATGACAGGGTCCTGCTGTCCCCCCACCCATGTAATTCCACACTTGTGGATTTACTAAGGCGGTGCACTTTTCTAAAAAATATGTAACTGCCTTTGAGTGAAGAATGGTTCTTAAGATTTTGCCAGTTTACCAAAGTATGAAACTCTTCAGCTGGAAATACCCTTGGCTTTTGGAGCACAGGTTGACTCCTCTGCCCTGCTTACTCTTCCATTATGAATAAATATTGTCATGTAATGCCTCCTGCTCCCAGCTCACTGAGGAGAGGTTCTCGCGCTAGGTTACAGCAGGGGCGGGAAAGGCTCTTTGTGGTCACAGCACTGAAAATTCACCTGCAGGTGCATGAGTTGATGGTGTAAATATCACAACAAAATTCCAAATCCACCAAAATGCACCCGAACCGAAGCAGCGGAGGAATGCCCTCTACATCTCTCCTCTTTTAAAATTTCAAACTGTGTTAGTCCTTGTTTGCAGCAATGATTGCAGTCCTCATGGGGAGTGGGCACATGGGCATGACACATCTGCATTATTTTTCAACCCCTTTTCCTCCCTGCACCTCCCATTCTTTGCTCTCCTTCTGACTTGCAAGAGCTCTGTCTCCATCTTTGAAAAGAAAGCTGTATTTACCGGGGAAGGAAGCTTCGAAGAAAGAGGGGCCCCAAGTGGGCTGCCCTTTGTCTCCATTCTTTAATTCTTTTTATCCCCTTTCCTTCCCCTCCATCTCTTGTCCCCCTTCCCAATTAAAAAAGATTTCCCTACTTCCCATTTTCTTTTATTTTGGTCTTTATTCATATTTTGGTTGTCTTATATAAGAGAAACGGTCAATGTTTAAGCTTGTGTGCCTGATTTATTTAACTTAATATTATAGGCCCAAAGTGCATTCATTTTCCCACAAATGACTCTACATTTATTCTTCACGGCAGAGTAGTTCTCTATTGTGTGTAAATAGATTTTTTAATCCATTCGTCTGTCAATGGACAGTCATTTCCAAGATTCTGCTATTATAAATTGGGCTGCTGTGAACATGGCATCACTGTAATATGATATCTTTAACTCTTTTGGGAAGATACATACTATGTCTCTTTTGCACCAAAGAAAGTTCTATTTGCTACCCAGCTGAAAAGTAGGGTAATTGACCTTTTTAACCTATAGTAGAAAAGTAAGTTTTACAATTCTGAATCTTATTTTTCCCGGCAGCACATGGAGAGCAGCTACCCAGGGAAGGATCTTTTCATGTTAATTTCTCCTCCTTCCATTGGGGACCTTCACCAGTGTTTGAAGGAGCAACTCGTCCACCAGGCGGGGAGCCGACAGCAGTGGGTACTGTCCTGAGGGGTGTGGGGTGCGGGCACGGCTGCTAGGACCCTACCTTTCAGACAGACCAAGGGCGTCTGCTCGACCACCTGTGAGATCCTGGAGCCAGTGCAGATATGACACCGTCTTCCGGGAACTCCTGGACACAGCTGATTTCTCTGCACCAAGCTCAGCAGACTCCACCGTTGTCTCAGAAGTGAGGTTAAAAACATGACACTGTATCTTAAATTTACAGTGACACGGGTACTGAGAGGAAGTGGAGCACATAACACTCCGTTCTTTTCTTCTGCCCACATGAAACCTAGATCTCGCTACGCAGCATCGAGCATCCGGCTAAGACACTTGGGCAGGATATTGCGCCCCTAACCTCAACCTGAGGCCTTGGGACAGCTGGGCTTCATGCGATCGAGGATGGAGATGAAGCAACCATTCTACCATCGACCAAAGCTATAGGCCTCCTGGAGTTGTTTTCTTTTTCTTTTTTAATACAGTGCATTTATTAACAGGCATTTCTTCAGTATATGAACTGAAACTTGGAAGAACCCTGGCTCCCAACCAGGCGTCCCATGGGTACTTCCTGGGGAGGCTTGGGCCTCCTCCTCCCTGCTGGGCTGGGGAACGCCTGCTCCCTGACCCAGGGCCTCCCAACCCCCTGCCTCACCTACCTCACTCCTAGCGAGAGCTATGAGGTGAGGTGGACGGAGGTCCTCACACTCACAGGATGGGGATGACACAGACCTCAGGACCACAGGAGGCCCCAGACACCCCCGACCCAAGGAGACTTGGAAGCCATGCTGACCTTCACCTCTGGCCCCTGGCGTGGCTGAACCCAGTGTCACTGATGTGTTTGCATTGATGCTACATTTTTATAAAAGACAGCTGCTTTTGTCCCTTCCTTAGGGTTTGTTCTGAGAAAACAATGAAGCCACCAATAGCCCACTGCTTTGCTAGAGTGGGAACGAAGTCAATCCACAATTCGGTGAAGACAAGAACCCGTCTCCCCTTTTCCCCTGTGGGAGCTCCTCACAGTGTACCGCACGGGTGAGAGCCCAGACCTGTCCTGCCCAGATCGGCGAGGTTCCAGAGGACTCTCTCTCCTCTACCCAGGATGTGGGCGGCAGGCACGTGACCATGCGAACCTCTGCGGCTCCGGTCTCTGGCTCACTGTCATTTTGGAGAAGCAGAGTACTCGGGGCAAAACAAAAGAAGAAATGAAAAGGAGCGAAAAACGAACAGAAAAATAAAAGGAAAGGAAAATGCTTTGAAGGCACTTTTTCCATAGGAAAAAAATATTTTATTTTTTTAAGAACAAATTCAGTTTTGAAACAGACGTGGAATGTGACGTCACGGATCTTGTGTTCGGAGGGGCTGACTGTGATGTGGAACTAAAGCAGACTGGAAACCTATGACAGGCTAGTAAAATAAAACAAAGGAAGAAAAAATATTTATAACTCAAGCATAATACTGTGTTACTTACAAACTGAACAACGAAATTTTAAATAAATATCCATGGTACATAATTACGGCACAAATATGCAGCAATTTGGCAACCTTTTATACCATTTTTTCCTCTTACAGTGCAAAGGGGAAATGACACTGCCGTTAGACAAGCTGTAGCTAAATACATTGCAAAATTCAGATTTTATACAAAACATCTTGCTTAGACTTTATAAAAAACCAACATTGCTCTATGTACACAATCTGGATAAGAAAAGCCATTTCTGTCTTGTTTTCATGTGTATTTTTTATTAAAAACGTGAATAAGGCTACTGTAACACCCCAAATCCAAGGACAGTAAATTCGGAACCTATTTACACCTTCTTCACTTAAACATGATGGTGCGATCCCGAAGACCAGGGATGAGAATACAAGCAAGGCATTTACAGTAACTTTCCAGAGCAGAACCAACTCCAAATAAGGGGACCGTTGGTAGATTGTCATTTTTTGCACCAGACACGAAACAGACGCACAGAACACTTTTGTTTTCAATTGGTTGCAGGTAACTCTTCACCAGTTCATCTGATTTTTTTTTTTTTTCACAGTTTAGCACATAACCCAAAGGTAGCCAACCGAGGATACACACACTTGATTTCATTAAAATCAGACTTTTTTTTGCCATGTTTTCCCTCCTCGTCCCTCTCCCCAATCCTATGAGGAATTTCTGATGGCTTACAAGAAAATCTTGTATGAATGCACGGAAAGGAGAGGTTGGGGTGATGGAAAGAATTACATATGTACTGTGGCTGGTCACCATGGCAACCCTCCACAGAAATATGATATAGATATATATAATATATATTGGAGATATATATTATACATATATGTACACATGTACGCCACACACCCACTCACACATACACACACGCACTTTGGACCGACAGTTTCAGGTTCAGGAGATGGAGAATAATCATTTCTGTGACAACTCGCTATTTTGTAGGTACTCACTGGAGGTCTGAGAACCTTCAAATGCTGTCGCTACATTTTTTTTTCCTCCTCCCAATTCAGAAAGCAAAGCGTTACCATAGTAACAGAACTCTGTTAAAGATGTCTATTTTGCATAGCACATAAAAAGTAGGTTTCCTGTCTCCTCTTCTCAGTTTCCGCGAGGGTGGGGATGGGATGGGGCAAAAGGAGAGGAGAGGGGGGTCTACCACTACCTGGCGCCCCCTCTGGGTGACCTGCTGGACTTTGGAGAACACTTCAGCCCATAAGGCAAGGAAAAACCCAGCACGGACATGGGTGCCGGGACATCTTGTCCTTGTCAAGCAGATGGTACGACCACATTGGCTTCCTGGTGTTGGGGCTTCTATTTCCTGGTCTCCAGTTCCGTGAGACGCCTTTGGAGGGCTGTCCTTTTCCTATTAGCTCTCGTGATTGTTATTTTTGGAGTGGTTATTGTTTCTTAATTTTTTTTCCCCAGGAGCTGTCCAATTTTTCTTTTCATTTTTTAAAGCACTGAGCCTCAGGATTGCTTAATTGCCACAAATAAATTTCACATCTTCTGGTGTGTACTGTGTGCAATCTTAAAATATATATTAGTAAAAATCTTTCATCTTATATCCCCTGCGTTCTATATACCTATTATAAATACGTCCTATCTTCCTTCTCCCCTCGACATCATTATTGACTTCCGTCTTAAGGACTCTGAGAGGTTTGCCGTGTGCTTCGCTTAGACCCTGTCCCTCCCGCAGCCTCGCTCGCAGCCCCGACGGCACAGCACCGCCATAAACCAAAGTGTGTAAGGCTCAGTGGGGCGGGGCGGGGCGGGACCGGCCCTGGGGCCCGGGGCTCTCTCTGACCTACCTTTGCCTAGCTGAGAATTCTTCCTTGACGTCAGTGGAGATGGAACCACAGCCTGCTGGACCTTTGGCTTTTCAACGTCTAGGTCAGATTTGGCTCTCTGCTATTCTAAATGCGTTCCCTGTGTTTCATAAAATGTGATAAGTATAGCAGCTGGGTCTGCTTCCACATCACCCTAAGCAGACCGACTCCCTACAGCTCCGGAGCTGTGCGTCTTATTGCCAGTACCGCGATAGTCTTGCCCTGCCTGAGCAGATGGCCGTGCCCCTCTGCCCGCCCGCCCCGACACCCCCTGGTTCTGCCGTCCCCCTGCACCTCGGCCAAGCCCGAGTGCTGCGGGACCTGCCCAGGCTCCCTTCCCTCGTCCCGCTCTGGGTCGGAGGCGGCCAGCCCTCCCCTCCTCTTCCTCGCTGACGGCCCAGCCGGCTGGCTGGGGACCCTCCGGCCTTCCAAAAGGGACCCTGCTCATCCGGAGCGGGCTACCGCGGCATGTCCCATCGTGGTGCAGGATGTGGGCGTGGGGCTGGGCGAGGCGCGGCGGAGCACTGGGGTACAGAAGGAGGAGACAGTGAGCACTGAACGCTAGCGATCTTGGGGAGCCTCGCTCAGCCCGAGGTCCGAGCGGAGGGACAAGTCCACGTGCCCAGCAGGGCAGACACCGAGCAGAGAGGCTGGGAGGTGACACCCCGGCCCCGTCCGCGCGCCCTGTGTCCCCGGGGCGCCGGCGGCGAGGCCTGCGCGACTGCGGCTCCTGGTTGGGGACGCGCGCCGCCCTCCATCCCAGTGGCACCGCGGCCACAGTCTCCCAGCTCCCGGGGAAGATGTGCAGTCACCGAGGCCAAAATGCTACAGACTAGAAAGCTGTCCAGCTCCGGGCTTCTCCAGCGCGAGGCTCCGCCGGCTCCGCGGCCGGGCTCAGTCAGACCAGGCGACCAGGCGACGCCGCGGCGGCGGCCACCCAGGTCTGCGAGGGAAGGTACCGGGCCTCAGACCTTGTAGTAAATGTTGGCAGGGCTCTGCGGGGGCATCTCCTGGACTATGTACACCGGGTGCCCGTAGTCCCCGCTCACCTTCTCGTAGTGCGGGCAGAAGACGCTGTCCGCAGTCCTGAGCGGGATGATAATGTCACTGGGCTCCGAGCCGTTGTTGTTGCCGCCGCCGCGCTTGGGCGTGGCCAGCGTGCTCAGAGACAGCGTGGTCGTGTGCTGCGGCGAGTGCTTGCGGTGCCTCCGGCGGTACTTGAGCAGCAGGACCACAAGCGTGATGATGATGACGATGAAGATGATGCATCCTGACGCTATCCCTGCAAATAAGGCCACTTCGGAACCGAGGAGGTTGTTCCCCGAATGTCCGGCACTGCTGCCGTCTGTGCTGGAACCTGGGGACAGGGGAGAGGCACAGACGCGGTTACTGCGGTCCCCAGGGCCCACCAGCTGCTGTGAGGATGCTCAGCAATGCCCCAAAGACGGAACACGCCAGGACGGCTCTGGAAGCAGAGCTCGCGGCCAAAGCTGTGTGTGGAGCCCCCAACCGCTAGGGAAGACACAGCGGAAGCATGCACCTGTCCACACCTTGATCCCCTGCCCTCATCCCACTGGCTGAGGCCAGGCCCGAGGGGTGCCAGGGACCCACCCCTGCGGTGTTTACTGATGGCTGGTTTTACTTGCTATCCTGCTTCCTAACCACTTCATAACATGTCTGACGCTCCCCTTCCTTTCTCCTTTCCTGGGGGAAAATGTGACGAATAAAAAGACTTAATGATACCCATGAAAATTAAAAATAGCTAACGGTGCAATCGGGAGACATCAGCGATCAGTAGAAAGAGACAGATCTGCCAGGGACACTTTCATCCACCCCAAGCGCATCGCCCAGTGAGGACGTGGCCCGCCGGCCCGCCCTTAGCTGCCTCATCTTTGAACTTGCTGCCCCAGCCTGGGGCAGGAGCAGGGGGAGAAGCACGAGGCGGCCACTCCGGGCAGAGCACAGCCACCCCGTGGCCTGTCTTCCCTTCCTTTGGACCAGCTCTCCGAGCACATCTTCAAAGAGCCTGCCTTCCACAAGCGCCCCGCGCCGCTCCACCGTGACAGCGGGAAGGAGTGACGGGGTTGGGAGAAGGTTCAGCTCGTAACTCGTTTGTATTATTTGATTTACACTTAAAATATATTTGGAAGGCAGCAGACACTTGCACTGAACAGATTGCCAACCCAAATGTTAAGCAGTAGAAATTGGCTGGCATCAGTATATTATCCATTTATCAGTTTGTCACAAGAATTTGACATATCTTGTCATTGAAAGTTAGAAATAACAACTTCCCTCCCTGACTCTTGGAAAGAGACAGAATTCTGCTGCAGATGCTAAATCCGTACCACTACCAACCGAGCACACAGATCTCTAATACAAAACTGCTGACGACCACTCACTAGATGAAAAATTCATTAGCATAGTAACGAATACACGGTTATTTGTTCCAACAGTGTTAAAGAAATGAAGTTCAATGACAGCCAATCTTATCTGCTATTTTAAAACATTGGTCAGGGAGCTGTTTACTATTATATACAGAAAATGTGAAAAAAAAATGAGTGCTAGCCACCAGCAAAGAATAGCATTTTGCAGTATTTCAAACTGTTACCATCTGAAATTTAAAAGAGGATCAGTTTGAGTCTTTGTGGATTACATATAATTAGATGAGGGATTATAACATTAATTATATATATATTAACATCAGCCTTAAGCCGGTGTTGACAGCGAGCTTGATAAAGTGTCAGCCAATGAAAATTGTGGTCTGCCAGAGTAGTACTAATAACTGGCTCTTACATCTGATGAGTTCTACTCTTCTGATAATAAGACTTTCATGGGAATGAATTCGTTTGTCTCACAGAGTGTAATTAATAATGACTCACTGGAAGCCAAGATTACTGATGCCTGGAATGATTAGTTAATCCAAGCAGGGCAGAAGCACTTGGACCCTGTTCTACCTCTTGGGATGCTAAGAATAGGGTACACACCGACCACTGCACCCCCAGACCGCACTGCCGCACCTGAATTTGGTTTTACGAAGGGACTTGTTGTTGAACTTCTTCCATTTGTACCAGCTTCTAGCTCTGGACGTCTTGTTGGACCACTATTCCTGGTCGATCCAGCAGAACTCGCATCTATACGAAAAATAAGTGATTAATTACAGCATAGATATCCAAGGGTATCTTAGCTTTATATATGTGTCAAGAAGCATGAATAGCAATGAACATAAGATTCTTTATGCAAAGCACTGTGAAATACAAGAATATAATTTTCCTTTTAAAACAAAATGGTCACACTAGTTATTTCAGAGGTTTAGATGCTGGGCCATCTGTGGAAACTATAGGGAATCTTGCATTTGGCAGGCAAAGTGTTGCAGATGACATTTCAATTTAACTGAGCAAGTTGATTGACTACTATACCGATTTCTAATTAAAAGAATAAATCTTTCTTTCTGCACAATAGGCTATCTCTATGTGAAAAGGCACAGCGAACACAACTCGTCAGCAGTCAAGTTTTAGAAACGAGCAAACTGCAGAGACATGCTTCGGGTTTTGAATCAAGGAGGTTTTTTTGTGTTTTTTTTGTTGTTATTTTTACAGGAAATAGACCTTAGAAGGTAACAGAGGTTCTGCCTAGCTGACCTTAACTTCTCGAGAGATCTCCAGTAAGAGGAGCTTATTACATCAAGTTGGGGCTATCGGCAAAGGGGCGTCTGCTTTCACATGGAGGAGGACAGGGAGGAGGGCAGATGTCACCAGCGGTGCCACGCGAGCTGGGGCTACACCAGGTGACAGTGGCCTCGTGCAGCGGCAGGCGGTCTTTACCTTGTCCAACTTTCATGAGGATCTTCATGGCTCTTGTCTGGCACACCCCTCCCTCCTGGTTATCCAGGCCCTCCAAAGACCCATTTGATGTAGCTGATTGAAAATAAAATGGACAAAACAAAAGAAATAAAGAAAAAATCAGGAAATCAATAAGCCAAGTTTACATGAACGTGAAATGTCTGAAAACAATTTGAAAAGTAAGAATTCGCTCTTAAGTCACACAAGCTTTCTAAAAGTGTGGGATGCTGAACGTCGAAAAGAAAAAGAAAAAAGAAATAAAGAGGAATGGATGCGGAAACACTGGTGCATGGAGCTGACTGGTTCCAGATGTACCCAAGCACACTCCCCAGCCGTACAGGTGACCGCGCGAGCGTCCACCTACAGATGCAAGGGGCAGCATCTTCCCAAAACCCTGATGCTTTGGGGCCGAACCTGAACGAGCATAGAGTTAATACGGTAATTTGGACCGGTGGTAATCATCCCACAACACCTGCTTCCTCTACTACAGATTTCCTGCCTTAAGAACAATTAGCCTGATGCTCTGTTTGTCAAGCATCCAAGTTCAGTAAACACTACGAGGGGAGATTCCCACACCCCATTTTTTTTTCTTCCTCCAGCCTAAAATGGGCTTAAGAAGTACATTAGAATTCAGGTCTTCAAAGCCTGACTTTCCCCCTCCACCCCTGGGGAAACCAGAGAGAACCAAGTGTTACGACTGCCAACACCAGCCGCCACCCACTCCTCCAACCAGCCTCCCTGCGGCCCAGGGAGCACCGCGGGGAAGGAGGTGGAACATGCGGCCGCCTCTCCTGGGGTGGAGGCTGAGGCAACTCAGCCTCATTTCAGCAACCAGATTCCCACTTTGGCTTATCAGGGAGGCCCAGGGCAAGACGGAGCCCTGCTACCATTTTCAGTAATTTATGTTTTTAGCCAAGTGTGCTCTACTTAAGCATAGTACTGTCTGTCTCTTGAGGCAGGTGACTTCTCTGAATAGCTGTGAACCTGAAGCTGCGAAGAGGCAGTTGCCAGGCACTTTAATGAATCCCAGGCTTTCAATTACACTTCAGACTCCAGCAGGAAGGGAGGGAGAGTGTGGACACCATGTCCCCGGAAGGGCAAGGGGCAGGGAACAGAAGTGTTTCATATGCACCTCTGCAACTTCAATCACCTTCTCCTTTGATTGCCAAAGTCTTCTCCTAACACTGCCCTCTGAAAAGGGGACAGGTGTTCTGGCTTTAAAAAAAAATCCCAGAGACATTCTTTTATTTTAACCAGGTTATTGTTTTCCAAAGGGGGGGACAGCAAGCAAGGGCCACATGCACTCACAGTGAAGACACATTCCACGAATAACTGCAGGCCTGAAAGAATGGGACTTGTATTTACTTGTGTTTCTCAGTTATCAACTTCTACTTTCCCTGTCTGCCTTAAAAACAAAAGCCCGCCTCTTGTGCATGTGGCTGTCTCCCTGCTTATCTGAGAACCTGCTGAACTTCACAGTCTCACAGTTCAGCTCTTTCTTCTGCACTTGCTGACGCTAAGCTTTTCCTGGGAAATTAGGCAACAGTTGCCATAATCATGTTTTCAGGGTTAGTGGCGGTAAGGAGACAGTATCTGCTTGTAGACTGTGGAGACAGTGTTTAGCAGATAAGGCAAAGCGAGCACCTAAAACTTTATATGCACCCGCGAACCCCCATCTCTGCATCCTGGTCATTCCTGTCCCTCCTCCATGCAAGGGACTAAAATTTCAAAGTATCTTTTCCTCCCAGAGACCTCAGACAATGTGGCTTCCCATGAGCAGACACCATTTCTGGACAGTATCAGCACAACACTACAGTCTTTAATTCATTGTTTATAGAGTTTTCTCACTGAATTTTTCAAAAATTAGGATTTCTGCCTGTAGAAAAAAAGGGGAAAACTGATCCACATGCCTGATGACTTCAAACACTTATGTTTTAAAATGCACATAAATGCACTTCTCTGCAAAAGTGCACTAAAATAATTGTAATTTTCCTGCTAAACATTTTTATATTATGCTGATAAATGACAATATAGCCTCTGAAATATAGCACAGAAACAAAGGGAAGGACAAAGAGAGTTGTTTATAATAATATTGAGGGGAAAAAAAGATTCAGATTGAAAAGTAAAAAAAAAAAAAAAGATAAAGGCACAATGGTGCACATCTGTAATCCTAGCACTTGGGAGGCTGAGGCAGGAGGATTGCAGAGAGTGCATGGGCTACATATCGAGGCCAGCTTGAATTGTGTAATGAGACCCTGTCTCAAAAAAAAAAAAAAAAGTTGAAGGAATACTAGGAAAGGGAAGGCAGGCGATGTGGAGCTGAGCCACTTCCACACCTAACTCCAACCGCATCTACTGAGGGGGAGCCGCCAAAGACGCCCAGGCTGCCCCCGGGAAGCAGAGGGGTCTGTCCCACCAGTGACCTTTTTTAAGTCACCGGTTGATGCCTTTTTGGAGTATGGACGTCTTTGTGCCCGCCTCCCCAACCTGACCCACAAGGATGTCCAAAGGACGCCTGAGTGTAAAGGCTCTGCAGGTACACTGCCGTCTGTAACTTAGCATTCCTGCCCGCGTGGGACAGGAGGAGGGAAGCTGTTCCCTAGAGGCACACTGACTTGCACCTTTCGGAGTCTCCCTCCTCAGTTAACAAGGGCCGTGGCGCCTCTGAGTCCTGAGCTAGGAAGGAGAATGGACAGAACCGTGGGGCCTGGGGTCCCAGGTCAGGCACGCTGGGCAGGGACAGTTTTGCGGCCACATTGCAGACTGTACCTCTCCTCCCCTTAAGCTGGCTCATCACCTGCAAAGACCACTGCCGAGCCTGAGGACACTCACTGCTAACGTTAGAGCAGGATGCTGGCTGCTTAAACACAGGTCGCGCTGCAAACTACTGTCCTGAGTTCCACGGTGAAAGAACAGGCCACAAACTCGGAGCTCTCTGCGGTGCCACAGAAGGCCCCTTCTCAGACACGAGCACTGAGTGACACTCGGACGGCAGTCCTTACAATGAGCCTAACGTAATTCAGAGCGACTCCAACTTCACATCTGATATGAACTTTGTTTCCCATTGTGAAGCTGACTTCCCTCTTGCCCAGTGTGTTCTAATTCTAGCGGTTGCCGCCCCTGCGTGAACAATGACCCGGCCCAAGCGTGTCCTCCTGACGGTGGCTCTTCCCGGCAGGCAGCTGCGAGCGCTCCCCGAGGTGAGCGTTGTGACTCCTCTGGCCTCAGCCGGGCATCCAGAAGCACTCAAAGGCCCAGTGGCTGATTTCAAAAACACAACAAGAACATGGCACACGCTCGGGAGTAATATCTATTTCCATTTCAGGAGACAATTTTGTGATTATTTTTATTGTCCATTTGAAAGTCCTGGGAATTTTTAACTTAGAAAAAGAGTAAAAATAAATGGTTACCTCATTACATTTACTTCTTTGTATCTCTCCACCAGCATAATCTAATGCAGCCATAATCACAGTATTACTAAGTGGATAAAATTGCATTTAATCATGGAGGGAGAGACAGAAAAAATAACATTGTTATACCTAAGCTTTTAGTGCCCAGACACTTTTCTTCCCTTGGCTCAAGGGGGAAAGAGTAGCCTTTTAAAATTAAAAATTACTTAGAAGAGTTTCCCCATCCATTTGGGAGACAGGCTTGGTAAAGACACATGGGCAGTTTATAGCTTGCCTTTGAAAGCTTTTGCTCCAGGGGTTTAATTACATGTCGGAGACAGAAGTCACTATGTTGTCCCCCAGGGCCTGACTTCTGGGGGTAGGTGTCACCACTCAGCTAGAAAGGGTCCTGGGTCCACACTGCCCACAAGTCCTGCGGTATCCAGCGGGTTAGGGTGAGACTGCTAGTCAGATCGACACTCACGTCGCTCCATCTGGACCCTTGTGTGGGTTTCATTTGCAAGGACTGGGAAAGAAGGTACAGAAAGTACCCACCCCCAGAAAAGCACCCCTGTGCAGGACACGTGCTGGGTTCCTATGGAACGAATGAAATATCAAGACATAGTAACACTTTGGAAGATGCACCAAACTATTCTAAAATGCAGCTGACTGGTCTGGAAAGGGCTTATTGGTCGGGAGTGGTCACTTAAAAGCAAGTATGAACTCATGAAAGGATTCCACCAAAGAGAGATAGATAAGGAAGCATGCGAGGTCAGGAAAACCACAGAATGGAAACAATAAAAACCTTGTCTTTATGGAAAGCTGAACTTAACTGACTCTCATTCAATCATCAGGCAAACTGCATTTTAAGACAACCCTCCGCCATTAAGAGTCCACGTGCACTATTCCTGCCCACTGGCCCAGCCCGGCCAATGCGGGCTCCATAGGCCAAGCCTCGTACACACCGGTTTCCCTATTCAACGAACACTTCGGAGGCGTCACAGCCTGTTCGTCTGCTATCGGGGGAGCCAGGAACAACAAAAAGACACATTCCAGGGAGAGACACGGAAAACAAAGCTGTGACTTCAAAGTCAACATGACACACGCAAAACTGGATTACCGTTTTCTTCTACCAAAGAGTTTTGAACCTTCATGTGTAAGGGCAAGGGGTGGGAGAAAAGGAGGCTGATAAAAAATATAATTGTTTGCTATCAAGATATAACCCGGGAAGCTAAGGTCTATCTACTTCTCATCTCAGCTCAAATTCAGAATGTGTCGTGCGAACTCAGAATACGTCCTTGGAAAAGGGATTCAATTTCTAGAACTCGAGGTGGCTTCATGCTTTGAGTAGCATGGTTATCTTTCAAGACACTAACTCGGAAGGAGAAAGGTCTGAAACAAGGAAATGATAATGCTCACAAGAAGTCAAAATAAATGCCTGGCTTTTAAGAAGTTAATTAAGAAAATATATATAATCTTCCCAAGAAGAAGAGGAAAGGTTCACTTCTGAATGCTTCCTTTCTCTGTGCTTTTCACCTCGGCTAAATTCGGACTGTGTTATTCTGGCTTTCCATGGGGCTCAGTGTTAGCATTTAGCTTAACACACACAAAAAAATCAGCAACGCTTCAAATCATACAGCACTGCACCCTATCATGCTATGCGCATTATCTTAAAGCAAGAGTTAC